TCCTAAGCGTAACGATAAACTTCACTGCTACTTTTATCGAAAAAAAAAAGTATATTAATCCACTTCGTTAGACATTAGGTAAAATAAATTAGCAGAGCTCTCCGTAAACGCTTAAAATTTTTACGTTATGTGAATTTTATTTTCCCCTTCATACGTGACATTTTCAATTGGTGAGTATGTGCATACGCATTTATGTGGTTTTAAAAAAAAAAAAAGTATCGCATGGTTGGAGTTTTCTTCGCAAGAATTACGATAAAAGATGCATGACGTCCTCGCGCGCGTGCACATTTGCCCCTCCTTTATACATACGCATGGTTATATATACGTATTTTTATGTACATAGTTTTATATACCTAGTTTTATGTTCATAGTTTTATGTACGCAGTTATATATATATACATTCATGTGTACGCGGTACCGTGTCCCCGCGAGGTGCATAAGGCATGATCGTACGTCATGGTGCAAAAGGCAGGAAAGCATCCCAGTAACGTAGCCTTAAATGCCATTAACGCTGCTTCACACATTCCAGAAAATGCGTACAGATTACTTAAGAATGAATTTTAGGTGTAGCAAAAGGGAGTTTTCCCGAAAGAACACGCCACTTCATGTGCAGATAATGCTTATGTAAATGCAAATGCTTTTTTTTTTTTTTCACGACATCGTGACACATTTTACTTCAAGCCTAATTGGCGCGTTGCATTTAAAATTTTTCGCGCGTTTTTCAGCGTTTTCATCCCTGAGTGCCACGCCGCTCCGCTGCTCCACCGCTCCACTGCTCTATTCCTCCACTATTGTCCCTTCCTGCAAATATTTACCTATTGCTTCCAACTTTGTACTGCCCCCCTGTTTACGCCTTTCCACATCTGCACTATCAAGCGCTGTGGCAACAAGAGGGAAAAATACATAGAGAGCAAAATAAATTTTGGACAAAGTGGGGCGAAACCAAACTGAACTCGGCTGAACTGGCTGAAGTAGACTGAACTAGGTCGATTTAAGCTGAATGGAACGCCGCACTCACGCTGACCCATCCACTGCAAACATTTTAACCACGTGTTAAACAAACGTCAAGTGGTAAAAAGTACATGTAGAAATGAAGCAAAGTGTGCACTCCGATATGTATAACATTGGGACATATCTGTATGAAGTCATTTTCTACTTAGCTGCTCAGTGCATGTATGCCCCTTGTTTCTATAAGAGCATTATATAAAAAAAGGAAAAAAAAAATTAACTTTGCGATATTAGTATGTTTTGATGGTACACACTTACTGCCTCGCTATTATGGCTTAACGTGGTTAATTTTTCTTAATTTTGCTTAATTGGGTTTTTTTTTTTTTTTTCGTGCCATCAACTGCTCAAAGGATTTCCTTTGGAAAGAGCACTGAATTCACTACATGTACGTACCAGCAATTTAGTAAATGCAAAAACAAAAGTGCGCAGAGCTTACATGTACGCTTGTCCAGTTTTATCCAAAAGCCGCTTACACACTGCGAGGGTCACGACGCCCAGGTGTGCTATACGCACATCTCCCCATGGCGTGTCTGCAGTGAAGATAGAAATGCTAAAAACACCTATGTGCGTGTCTATAAGGGTACGTTGAAAAGCGTTTATATTAACGCGTGCGTATATTTACACGTATGCATACTTATGTGTAACCCTAATGAGCGTACACATTGCTGTTTTGCACATGTGCCCGTGCATAACCGTTTATTTACTCACTAATTTGCATGTGAATTTTTTCCGCCCCTTTTTTTTTATGTAAAGGTGATACGACACCTCAGCGTAGTGACCGCGCAATTGTGTAACCTTCGAGATGTGGTTCATTTCGACTCCCCCTTTAGCAAAAAAATGGTAACACCAAAATAGTCGAAACAGTCGAAACAGTCATAACAGTCTAAACAGTAGCAATGAATAAGCAGTGCAGTATGATGTGAATAGAAAGGAGCGTCTCCTCGTTCTGTGCAAGTATCCCTCTTCATTGCATTTTCAAATGCATTTTGAACCATGCGCGATAGCTTCCTTTGCACATCGTAGATGGTTAAAGCGCACGCGGAGCACGTACTTCGCCTACACTCACCGCTCTCTGCGCGCACCTGCACGCGTATGTGTGGCTGCCGATTGATCTGCTGATTTTATTTGGTTAGGAAATGATTTGCTAGCCTATTCGCCGACCGACTTGTTAGTCAATTTTTCCCTCTTCCTTTTATATCGAATTACGATTCACAGCAATTTGGTTTTGTGTCTAACCCGCCAACATACTCACAAAATTACATCCCTTTAGTTGGAACACTTGGCAGTAGTGTCTTTCCCATTTTTTATGTGCACGTGCATTTACACACAGACGTTTGAAATGGGAAGAAGTAGTTACCCTAGAGTGCGTTATCAGAACCACTGCCATATGAGAAATTTCTCATTGCTGTTTTTAAGCTCATTCTTTTTCATGTTTTCTCTGCCTGCTGCGCTTTGACGAGCTCAGTTTGTTGCATGAGTAGGGTTCATAGGGATGCAGGCAGTGCCTGATTGTTTTTTATTAGAGAGTATTTTTTTTTTCTGTATTCATTTTTGCCGCACTGTTTTGCTGCGTCTTTTTGCTTCACTTCTTTTTGCTGATTTGTTACACCTTCTGTTGCCCTGTTCACTGCACCGTTTTGTTTTTTTCTCTTTTTGACAAATTGAGCCCATCCATGTGTGGCTAGCCAGGCTAGCCACTGCATTTTTAATTCACCAGCGTGACTGCGAAATGCATACGATACGTGAAAATGTACCTAATGCACCTGTGGTTAACCCTGAAAACTGCATGTAGAATTTTAATGCACTCTGAAGTAAGTGTCTAAATTTTCTTGCCTCCCCTTTCATATAGACTGTGTTATTTTCCACTCGTCGGATACGCTAAGGGGGTGATGTGGCAACGTTTTTCTTTTTCTGCATCGCTTCGCCATTGCCTAATAATGCCAATTTAAGGATCCCCCTAAAGACCAGGCGAAGTGACAAAATGGACATACACAACTCGAGAGAGGGCGCGCAAGGACTTTCCAAAATGGGTAACGAGGAGGCACAAGTTAGGGAGAGGCTGCACAAGAAAAAAGTCATATCCAAGGTGGGGTCCAAAGGGGGATCCAAAGGGGGATCCAAAGGGGGATCCAAAGGGGGATCCAAAGGGGCGTCCAAAGGGGAATCCAAAATGAGATGCAAATTGAGATCCAAAGTGGGTGCCGCAGAAAATAGCCAGGTGAAAACACCAAAAGGGACCCATTTGAACAGCGCCGTCAGAGAAAAGTCAAACATTAAGACAGTCATTCATTCTGGTGCTAAATCTCTCAAAACGAAAATAAAAAAATTAAAAAAAAAATATGAACATATTCATATGGTAAATCATAATAATGATGAGCATGTGAAGTCTCTTCTTCATATACACCATAATAGTCACCATGGTGACACAGGTGAAGAGGGGAATTCCATCTGCCGAAACAATTTTAAAGGCACCAAATATGTATGTGCAAAGCGGCTGGAAGGAGAGCAGAATGGGGTGAACTCAGTCCCCAACGGTGAGGCAAAAACAGAGGATCATTTTCGAAGAACTGGAGAAAATTTTATTAATTCTGCTTGCTCAAACCGAAGCTGTAGCAACGATACACGTCCTAGCCGGATTAGCATCGAAAGCCTCAGCGATTCTATACCTTTCGGTGAGGGGACCCATGACGTGTATGGTCAGAGAGATTCTAACGCACATGATGACGCGGATCATAACGCGAACGATGACGCGGACGATGACGCAAACGACGACGCCGATAATGTGTCTTCGCAAGCTGCCAGTGAAAAATGTGACGATTCACCAAGTGAGAATCTTCCCCCTCCTCATGTACGAAAAATGGATAAAGTTAATCCCGCGCTGGAAGAAAGACACTCCCGTAGGGTTAACCACATAATTGGAAATCCCGAAATTAAACATAGTTTGTCGTGTACATCTGATGATCGGGACCGCTCGGGTGTAGAGGAGGCTAACCCAGGGACGGCCGTCAACAATATTGACAACACGAATGATGAAATGAAGAGGTGTACAGCGGAGTCATTTGCTGAGGGGATTTCACAAGATGGTGATAGTAATGATATAGGGAAAGCGGGACACCCAGAGGGAGACGTGATAAGCGGCCATGAAAAAGCCATAAACAAGAGTAACCTAAATGAACCGCTTATGGCGGAACAAAACGATGTAGAACCCCATGGGGGTAAAAACGTCTGGGGGGGCATTGCTGATCTTAATGGAATAGAGGAGGGGGAAATAGGAACAACGATTGGTGATTACCATGCAGAGGACGACAGGGGTGAAATGGGAAACCCTCCAAGTGAGGAAGGGTTCAATGCCGTTCGTTTGGAAGCGCGAGGGGATAGCCATTCGTCACGTGGAACAGTTTCGGGCGAACGAGTTAGTGATGAGATGAGTGTGGCTGCCGATGTGCAACAGCAGGGGGGACTTGGAAGTGGCCAGGACAAAAATGACCAGGACGGAAATCCCCACGGTGAGGACTACCAACGTGACAACTACCAGGGAGAACCTGGCCAACGCGAAAATAACCCAATGGAGTGCCGCCGAAACGAGCGATGTGCAGCTCCAATGATCGCCCAGGAAGAGAAGTTCGACTTGCGAAACATTCTAAGCTGCAACATAGACACGTCCAAAGAGGGACAAGGAGAAATGGAAAAACTAAATCGCCTAATTAGCTTCCGAGATAGTGCACAAAAGTATCTGCAAAGTTACATAGACTCGTTTCTAAATGATTCCTTTCTCATGTCATCCTATCTGCCCTATTTACACTACTACGACCAGAATGCATACGACAAGAAGGAAAAGAACTTTTTAAAAATGGTCACCCATTTTATGGATCATTTTCACTACAATAAAAAACTGAGCAAGGAAATACGAGAGTTTAAAAACGACTTTATAAATTCACCACTAAATGAAAAAATAAAATATGTCGATAAATTTCCATTTTTAAGGTTACCCGAAATGTGCACAGACAGGGTGAAGTGCCAATTTCTCAGGCTGCTAAAAGAATATTGCAAGAAGAAAAAAAAAAGAAAAAAGAAAAATTACTACCAATTCTTCTTATGCCACAAATTTGTTAATCAAATTTTTAAGTTAAAGGAAAAATGGGTCGAAAATAATTTTCTCCAAATTGGGTTGACCGAATTTGGCCCACCGGTAGCGCAGCAGGAGGAGCAGCGGAAGCAGCAGAGGGAGCAGAAGGAGCACACGCAGCAGGATGATGAAGGAGAGGTGGTGGAGAGACACGACGCCGAGGCCTCGCTTGAAACGCCATCCCTAAAGGAACCTATAAAAGAGGAAGGCTATCCTTTCCCCACTGTTAAGGAGAGGAGTCCAAACGGGCTGGAGCAAAAGAGTTACCACCAAATGGGTGAAAAATGGAACAACGATATTTTGTGCGAACAGATTATCTCTTCTCCGTTTTTAAAGGAAGGGAACATTTCTAATGGTGACTTTGCGATGACAATGAAAACGATGGTGCATTCGTTGGATGATCGTGGAAGGAAGTTAATTCAATTAAGTGACGCGAAAAAAATGGAACAACATGCTAGTTGGTCCTATCCTCGGCAAAGCAAACATTTCATTCGGAAGCATCTCAACACCGTGGTTAGAAACAAACTGTTCAATGTGCTTCATTTGACTGATGCGAAATATAGGGAAAAAATTTACATAAAGAATGAGGACCACCATATTATCAACAACATTTCTTTTTATAAAAACAAAATAAACAGATTGTATGCTTATCTCATGGCTTGCGCGCTTATGGGACACTCCCCGAACGTTAGGCAGCCCAATATATCGTGGAACGGGGGCTCCGATGTGAGGGGAAACCCCAAAGAACACCTCCAAGCCGAAACACCCCCCAGAAATAGCGGTCACCTCCGCAGCTCCAACGAAGTACACATAAAAACTGTGCTCAACGAAAAGGACAGTGGATCCCAAAAAAGATGCATCAGTCTTTGCAATTTAATCAAAATTTCCAACGAATTTGTAAAAAATAATGGGAATTCTAACAAGGAGGATGCGCGGAAAAATAAAATCGCACACAATTCTAATCGGGAGAGTCTATCAGAAGATATGCACATCCTTACAAGGAATTTTTTGCAAGACGGGGCATATAACAGTGCACCTCCTCATGTCGGACAAAATGGAAAAAGGTCATATATCTCCACACTGTCTAATAAAGCGGAGCGGTTGACTAGGTGTCCGATCAAATGTGGGGTGAAAAATTTGGAACTCCACAATGAGACGGATTCGTTGGAGGGATTAGCTGATGGGGCCATGTGTCTTCCACACGTAACGAGCGGATTGGACGAAGCGAGGAATGAGACGCCCTATAAATGGGAAGAGGTCAGCGTGGGAGGCGATCTGCAATGCGGGTCCCGCGAAGGCAGGGGAAAAAGGCTCACCTCAGGTTTGATAGCAGATGACCAAGTCAGTCGCATCGCAGGGAATCAAGTCAATCGCACCGCATATAACGAAGTGAATCGAATCGCAGAGGACAGAGCGGAGCAAAGACCAGATGAACGACTGGACCTCCATCCCCCTGTGAAGAAAAAAAAAACGGACAACAACAAATTTCAGTTGTCACCCGACTTACAATTCCTATACGATGCGTACAACAACGGAGAACAAATTATCGTGGTTCAGAATAAAAACAAAGTGTTGCATAACTTGGACAAGTGCACAAAATTTACCCGTCTGTCAAAGGGATCACTGTTCTATGGTAATGACAGGGGGCAGAAAGGGGTCGGCCCTTCCAACGGAACTGCATCCACTCTGTACAAGAGCCAATACAATAGCCAATACCAGAGCCAGATGCGCTACGTGAACATCCAACCGAAATGCACCTACGTGAAGAACACAAATGGGGTCAACTTTCCCAATTTAAATTCTTCTCATATGGCATATTCGTACTATGGGCAGACTCCTTATAACAGTAATATACCATTTGTGCAGAACGGCTCCTTTCCCCACAGATACGGAGAAGGCACCGATAGGGGTTACAACAATGGGTCATTGGCTGCGACCAATGGGAACCACATCATTAGCAGTAATCACAAAGTTCACATGAATGATACCATCGATCATTTGAGTAAATTCGACAAAGTACAAAACGGGATAAATTTTGTAGACAGTAAGAACATCCTGGTGAATAACTCCAGTGTGGAATTTGCAAAATGTAGAAATTTCACAAATGCTTTCAGCCCTCAGTATGTACCTGGTGCTCTAAACTATATTAATGGCATAAATCCAAGTGTGCAGAATTGCTCAAGAGTGAATTTAAAAAGCATAGGTTACTATCCGAACAGAAATAATGTCAGTGGTAGTAGCTGTTTCTCCCCCACGTCCATAAGACAAGAACCACTCAATAGTGACTACCTAACTCAGTCGACCAATTACGTGAACTCGTTTGATGATTCTTCTCAGAGTATGTACAACCAAATGGAGAACACAAACCCGTTTTTATCTGAACAGATGCAAAATGGAAGGAGTACCTTAATGAACCAAAATGGATACCCCCACTTTGCTCTGACGAATAATTATTTTTCGGATGCTATTAATCCTTTCACACAAAATGGAAAAGGCGGTGGTAACCAATGTGGGATGTACTACCACGCGCATACCAACCTGAGTTATGCTCATCAAGGCGAACAAAACGTCGCTAATAATGTAGCCAGTGGGACGGTCCACACAAATGGAAGAAAACAAATAGATCAACCATGTGTAGATTTACCTAACCGAACCAGCGACAACCATTTTGAATGTGTTACTGAGGATGGCACTTATTCTTTGAACCCTCAGAAGAAGCGAGGTAGTGAAGGGATGGTGGAGAAGGACAATAATGGGGACGCAATGGATACAGCTAATCAGCTGGAAGGAAACAAAAAATGCTACATTGACGATGTAAGCCACAATTTAAATTGCACACAAAGAAGTAGCACCACCAGTGGGGAATCTAAAGGAGGAGATGATCATAAGGAGGCCACTGCAAAGAGTTATCCCCCCAGAGGAGGGAACGAACTGTTGGGTGAGGGGAGCAAACATGTGGTGAACACAGATGTGAGTGGAAACCATGAACAGTGCCATGGAAATGACCCAGATTGTGACGAACGAGGGAGTAACATAACTGCCACAGGTGAGGAACTCCTTAACAGGAATGTAAACAACAGCAGTGACTATAAAAACGAATACAGTAATGACAAAGTGGAAGCAAAAAAAAAATCCCCCTTGAACTCGAATAATAATTCTTCACAAAATAGTGGCCCAGACGCGAGGGAGTCGTCGCCTAGGGAGAGAAACCCGCGTGAGAAGGACCAACCGGAGGATAACTCTCCCTCGACGGAAGGTACCAATTTGCATGTGGGTACCTATCCAGAGGGTACCATTAACGGGAACACCGGCGTAAGAAGCGTGCGCAGCGACAACCACGATGGTAGCACCTCCCCTAACGCCCCAGATGCTGATGCTGACATACATTCGCCCCATCACCCAAGCAATAATGTCACCCCCGCTCTTCCAAAAGAGAACCCCTCACGTGACGATAACAGAACGAGTGAGGAACTTGCAGATGCTGTAAAAACATCACGCAACAATGACGAATATCAATGTACTACAAATCTGCAGCATCCAAGTAATGCCTCAACGGGGGTGAACCCCGTTCAAAACAGTCACCTGGTGAATAACCATACTGACCATTTTAACATGAAGAACCAACCCCGTAATAACGACTGCTGTGGCATCATTGACAACTTGGACACGGGTGCCCCTTCCGTGGAAGAAAATCAGGACAGCTCATACCATGGTGGTAGTGCTCCATTTGGAGGGAACGGGCACACCAAATCGATAAATATTAACGACAAACTTTCCTTTTTTAATGTAAACGAAATGGGAGCTTCTATGGATGATGCACCTATTGGGGGAAGCGCGATAAGCGGCGTTGGTCGAAGTGGTCCCCTCAATAGCGGGAGCACCGGAATTGGCATAAAGAAATCAAACCAGATGAACAGCATAGACTTCTCCATAACCAACACAGGGAATAAAACGAAATATAAGATGTCCGAAGAGATGGTGAACATAATGAGACAGACAAATGCATACCGAACCCCCTGTGGACATTACCAACTGAGCCATCCAGACACAAGCATGGCAAGCGTATACAAGCCATTAAACTTGAATGGAATAATGCCGCCCCCTTACCATAATAGAAAAAGTAATAACATGAAAAATTACCCAAGTGCAGAAATGAGGAGTAATATAAATATACATAATTACAATAGGAACAAAAATGAGAACATCGAAATGACAAATACGAATGAATGTCTCAGCACATCCCCCCCCCCGAGCAACTTGCCAAACCAGTATGGATATCTATACAATTATAACATGGGTAATTATTTTCTAAATGGAGTCAATTGGGTCGGTTTAGAAAATCGCACAGGTGACAGACCTGTGAGGAATAATATGAACTTTACCAATTATAATGGCATCTTCAATGGATACTGTCATGGGGATGAGGAGGAGTGGGATCCGCAGCAGGAGGGTCCACATAAGGACGATCCACATCAGGATGACGACCGAAGCGGTGGGTCCTTCCCCTCATGGAGCAATTTAAAAAAAAGAGACAAAACAACAAAGGAGAAGAAGAATGCCAATATGAACACGAGCAAACCGCAACCATTAGGTTTAAATGCCAGCAAGAATAAAAGGCTAGGAAACAATGGACCACCAACCGCCGAGAAATTAAGCGAATTGCTACATGAGAAGAATTTGTCCGTTCCACAAATAGCGGCCATATACGGCGTGCACAGGACAACTGTCGCACGATGGTGCCACAACAGGAACGTTATCCAAAAGTCGAGTAACTACCAGGGGAGGAAGAAATCGTCCTCCACGGTGGGCGCCGAGTACACCTAATGGGTCAAGCGGCAAAAGGAAAAACACTCTACTCAGAATTGTTTTTTTTTTTTTTTTTTTTTTTTCTTTTTTTCCGTGCTGTATTCTGTTTGTTGTGTGTCCCATCAGTGAAGAATGACCTCTAGTGTGCCCCCATTCGCGTTGCAAATTAGATCAGACAGGCCAACCCTCGGGAAAGTGGGGAGTACAGAAAATATGCCACGCTAATCTACGGGCCGTTCGAAGATTTACACATCTTTACACCATCGCGCTAATGACCTGCGATTAAAGAGTGGCATATGGTGAAGAAGCCCACTTCATGCGTTATACGCCAGATGAGAGAATACAATTTTGTGCTGCACATTTTGTAAGCATACACATTGTGCAAGGCTACACATTGTGCCCTTTTTCACCCATTTCGCTTTCATCCGATTCGTCTTCTATGTTTGCTATCCGTCTTTACCACGCCTATCCCCCTCCCGTATATTATAATATTTGTTAATGTGATTTTCTTTTTATGCCTTCTTGAATGCGGCTCGCATTTGGGAAGCAACCGCAGAAAAAAAAAAAAAATCACCAGCAAAATGGGAACAAAATTATGAAGCCGAATGGAGCAATTTTGCAAACCTCAAAATGAAATTTTTTAAGATTTATCTTCTCTCTCATCAAAAATGGCGCGATAAATGCAAAGTTGGGTCAGGAACGTGTGCGTAGGGCACACCATGAACGAGTGATTAAGATCCCATTGCTGTTCTCTTGTGGGTGAAAACGACAAGCCAGAAGAGGTGCAGGCATAAAAAAGAACCCTCCCGAAAGTCACCACAGAGCGTGTTTTTCGAGTGAAACGACAATGACAAAAGTTGTGTAGGAACATTTCGCCACCCCGATAACAGCTCAATTTTTTTTTTTTTTTTGGTCCAACTCCACGTTATGTGAATGCATCATATACACACAAATCTTTTCATCTCAATGAAAGAAAAGAAGACAAATTAGTCACTCCACCCCCAACCGGTGACACTGCACCTTTAAAGAATTATCCTCCAGTTTTTTTTTTCTTCGTGTTTTGTACGAAATGATACCAAAAAAGAGTACAATTTATTTAATAATGTTACACGCATAGAGAAAAACGCAAAATAAATAACTGCATGAATAATTCTACAAATAATGCAATGAGCAGCATGAAGAGCAAAGATGATGCACCTTGACGATTCATGTTTCCTTTTTTCAAATAAAGTCCTCCCCTTTACCTACGTAAAATGTCATTCAGGTGTGTGTCCGTCTTTCGAACGCCATTTTAACGTATTTAAAAAAAAAAAGACCCCTCATGGGGTGAATGCTTTATTTCCCTACGCACGAACGAGTAGGGCGTTCTAAATCACAAATAAAATGAATGTTACACAAATGAGGCTTTTTTTCGAAGGTTTCTATCACCCATTTGGGAATGTGCGCCTTTTCGCTTTGAGAGACGTGAGAGGCGAAATGACGGGACGGGTGATGGCAGGGAGAGGAGACGGGGTTCACAAAAGGGAAGCAGAAAAGGAACAGAAGCATGAAAGCGCAAAATGAAACAAAATCGAAAAAGAAGAAACCAACGTTGCTAAGAAGTGAATCCCATAGGTGGATACAAAATTTTAATTACACATATGCATGGACAGTCAAATGGTGCATGGAAAAAAAAAAAATGCTACGGGGCTCCAAAGTTCAGTTCCCTCATCTTGGGTTGATTTCTTGGTGGTGTCGGAGGTCTCAGCTCGGTCATTTTGGTGTCCCTTCAAAAAGGAAAACGGGAGGTGATGCACATGAGCATGTATTACTCTGCTTACGTTGGCGCATGTGCTCCTTAGAGTGCCACTTCGATGCAGAGGTGTATCTACACAGGGGAGGCACGTCTACATAAGGCAGATACTTCCACACACCGAAAGTCCCTCCGTGCAATCGCCGCCACCTGCCCCCACTTACCACGTGTTGAAGAAGCGAACTTCGTCCTTGGCTGGGTATATCAGTTTCGGAATGACGGTGAGGTCCCTACGGATGAAGAGCAAAGCTCCAGCGTTCTTGTGCGAGTTACAATAATTGGTGGCCGAAAAAAGGGTTATCAGTTTACCCCCCGCGAATCTTTCAAACCCATCCATGACACATTCATGGGCACGTATAATCAATTGTAGATCATTGTCCTCTAAAAATTTGTGAACCCGGTCAGGCCCATACTTAACAATATGACCAGTACCATCGGGGTCTCTTATATCATTAGGGATGGTTCCCAAAATGGAATCATTGTCTGTCGGATCAGACCAAAGCAAATCAGTAACCTTCTGTTCATTCAAATTTTGTGGAACTTGAGAAACAACCAATGGTCTCCTCAACTCAGATATGTCCGAAATGGTATTAATAGTCTTTCCTATACCACCATGAACACATAATATTTTCTCTTCTACAATAGCACCTATAGGTAGCCACTCGAAAACTTGATTTATCTGAACCCAGCAGGAAGACTTATCACTTATGTCTTCCTTTAGTCTCCTTTTACACTCCTCCTGAAATCCATACAGACTGTTAATGGCCATATCTTCATGATTCCCCCTTATCAAATGGATCTGCTTGGGATACTTACATTTTAACGCGAAAAGTAGGCAGATGACTTCTAAGCTGTTGGAGCCTCTATCGACATAATCACCCAGAAATAAATAATCATTTGAATCGATATCACCAATGGCATTTAATTTTTCTCCTAAGTCTTCTTCCACTGGACATTTATACAACTGAAATAATCTCATGAGATCATAATACTGCCCATGTATATCTCCATATATTTTTAAGGGGGCTCTTAATTTTAATATCATATCTTCCTGCTTGAAAATATCCATTACAATGGAACATAGGATGGAGATGTTTGCCCAGGGAATTATAAAAATCGTCTCCGCATTATGATGGTACTGAATTTCGAATTGGGTTATATTCGGATTGAGCAATGTCGTGATGATTTTATCATATACTGTGTTTTTAAATTCACTAATGTAGTTCACTGGTGTGCATAAGACGCCGTTATTTATTTTTCTTCCTTCTTCTTCCAGCTTATCAATGGATATTTTCCGGACCAACAATGCGAAGTCGCTCCCTGTTTCTTGCACTGCATGTGCATGGGCTGCTAGCCTTATTTTATTCGACATGGGTCTAGTGGATAGGCGGAAGAGCGACGAGCTTGGCGAGTCAAGCATGTTCCTCTGCTGCGCATTCTGTGTGCTCTGTACATTTGCTACTGCATTCCCTGCGATGGCGCTATTCTTCATTTCATATATTTGTTTAGCCCCTACATATTGGCTGCTTCCGAGTGCACTAGGCTGATGCGGGTTGATAACGTCTTGGCTATTCAGGTTGAACGAACTGACGCTTCTCACTTCGCTGCCTATATGCTTGACATTTTCGCTTGACAGCTGCTTCTGCTTCAGGGAAGACTGCTTTAGGGTCTTCCTCTTATCCGAATCAAGACTACTGGTTGCATTCACCAGGATGCAACAGTCCAGGCATTCCAACTCGTTTGTTGGAAACTGCTGCGTCTGGTGAGTGAACCCACCAAAGGTGTAAATGGTATGCTTGTGCATCCACGAGGTGTGTCTAAATTTTGAAATGGCTGGAAGGGTTACCCACTCAATTGTCTCCGTATTGTACAGCGCTGTGGACAAAGGGATGGCACACCCGTTATCATTTCGACCCCCTAAAATAAACATTTTGGAGCCTATAAACACAGCAGTATGCTGATAACGCGCTTCGGGAGGGATTCCCTTTTTTATGGGAGCTTCGACCCAATCCCATCTTCCATCTCTGTGCTGTCTCAACCCCCATGTGTCATCTAACGATTTATTTTCCGCACTCCTTCCACCAAATATGACAATCATCCCTGTCGCAGGTCCTTCCTTGCACATGTCAGCTGAGTGGTACACTCTTGGAGGGGGGGCCTTGCAATTATTTGAAATGATTACTTGAACCCATTCGAATGGGGGAAGTTCTACATGCATAAACCAAACATCATTCAGCGTATGCTGACCATTATTCCCACCGATTACAATTAAATTGGGCTTATTAAATACCATTACATGCCCATATCTTCTCCCTGGGGTTACTCCTTTGGTAGGCACCGTCATCCAAGAATATCGTTGTTCCTTTCGTAAATCTAGTATGTACAAATCGTCCAAGGAGAGGGACCCCCCTCCCGTTGCACCCCCATATATAACTAACTGCTGCTCATCAACACAAGCAGCTGCATGCGCTGCTCTCGCCGATGGGGTGTTTTCCGTTACTATTTTTTTCCATTTGTTTTGAGATAAATCATATATGTAAATATCATCTGTTATGTTATACTTCCCTGCGTCGCCTATCGCCCCACCGAATACTGCCACTTTGTTGTTTCCTAGGTAGGTAGCCGTGTGTCCAAAACGAGGTGCTGGAATTTCTCCCTTTTGTTTTTCCTTCCTGCAAATGTTTGTTTCTTTAAACGACCCATTATTCATTTGTCGTACAAGCGAGGAGTAGCTATGCTTGGAAGGGTAGGGGAAAAAAAGGGGGGCCAAACGGTCAGCGGAGAAGCGGTACCATGTGCACACCCCACAACTGTATGTGTTTGCATGTATGTGCTGGCAAAAAGGTTGTCACGAGGGGGAATGGGTGGAGGCAGACAAACGGAAAAAAGGTGTTTCCCTCTATTTCTACCTGGACAAATGGGCGGACGTAAAAATTGAATATTTTAAAAATTACTTTCGTGTGGGTTCCCCCGCCCTGTTTCCACTTGCAGCTGGTCTTTTTTTTCCGCTAAGAGAAGGTGAAACAGCAGGGGGAACGAACAAGGAGAGCAAACAGGTAGGCGTGATTATTTGCGAGGGGAGACCTACACGAGGTGGGTCACATAACTAAGTTCACACGGGGGGGCTCACACCATGACGCATACATGTCGACACATACGGGCGATTACCTCAACGCCCGCGCTGATGACGACAAGTGTAGGTCTGTTTGGCGCATAACTCCCCCTC